ATCATCTCATATTCTCCACTATTGCAATGCTGGAAATTGCTACTAGTAATAGCTATGATCTTAGTAATGTTTGTGTTACATAAAACCCCATCAAAAATGAGAGCGACTAAAAAAAGTGTTGGAGCTCCACACTAAATGCTGTATTCCGGTATATACTGGACAAGGCATTTGAATGTTAATAACTGTTTAAATTTCCCCTTTTCATCCGTCATAATGCTTTTCAGGGGGTTATTTCATCTTCTCACACTAATTTATTTAGGATTTTGAATGAAAATTAAGAATCGCTGAAAAAAGTGTAATTTTCTACTTTGTGATTAAGTGTCTAGAGTTACTGCCCCAACACTGTAGTGAGTTAAACCCAACCAAAATGAAATGGATTTCAATATTTAACTGAGTAATTTATTTTTATTAGTACAAAATTTATGTTTTATGGAAGATTTCAATTGTCTTCTGTAATATGATTCTTATTGGTTTTGAAATTTTGAAACAGTAAAAAAAAAAACAACAAAAAACTGCTAAAGATATGTTACCACAATTTGTGTTGTTAAACAAAAGGTTGATAAATATATTTTATATGATGTATTTATGATGTCAAATTTACTTAATATATATGTTATTATACCCTTTTGTTTTAGTGTTAAAATTTGCTCTGTAGTGTTATTTGTTACAGATGCATCTATTTATTATTGTATATATTTATTTTTAGAATATATCATTATAGTTGATTTGTGATATATATAGAAAAGCACAAAGCTCATAGAAGTGGTCAAACTTGTTAGCTGTGAGACTTTGTGAGTCATCACTGAACTATTACTGTAAACAACAAAACCTGTGAACTAAGGCCTTTCAAGGAAGAGACTGAATATGGTCTTTTAAGACAAGTGGTCTTTATTTAGAGGTTATGTTGTTCTTTTCAATTAAATGAAGGATTGTCGAAGAGTGGGCTTTGTTTACAGGGTGGTCTTAATTCAGAGGTGGTTCTTTAACTTAGGTTTAATAGTATATTACCCTGTAAGTTTTCTTGCTTGTAGTATATGTAGTTTTAATTTGTGTAAAATTTTGTGATAAAAGTTTGCAGTATAAAGTTTTAAACCTCTTACAAGGTTGGTAAAAGATTTTCAAAAATAGTGGTTGTTTTCCATTTAAAGCAGCACGTCTCCAGATTCATGCTAATTTTTCAAGAAAATTTTGAAAATGTATTTAAACGTTTAATACATGTATTGTTAAGTGAACAAGGTGTTCTTTATTTAGGCAATACATACTTTAAAATTGTCCCAATTGTTGAAAAATTTTGTCCAGATTGAAAGATTTATTTCTAATGGGGATGACCGTGAACTCTGAATCACCTTGACCTTTTAAGTTCAAATTTATCAAAATTCAATAAACATTTGTGTATTGAGGGCATTTGTTTGTTTTATGAGCACATCATTTAAAAAAAAATGTAGATTGATATAGTAGCATTTGTTTGTATATCATATATAGAAAATACATTGTGCAATATTATGATTTCTTTTTCTGATGACAAATTTTATTCTTTATTATGGCATGTGAATGTGTGAGTTTGTCTTACTAATGATGTACAGCTAATTTTTTTTATCAAAATGGTATGTTTAATACACTGTCAGAATCGACTGTTTGTTAGATTATGAATTAGACATCATATACATTAAATAAATTGTTAAAATCAGCTATTATAAGAATTAAGTTTTAGCTTACAGCAGATATCCATGGAAATATCCATGGATATCTGCTGAAATCATTTATTGAAATAAAAAGTTCAAAAATTGCTGTAGTACATAGTAAAAGAAGACTTATGATTTTGTATCTTATGAAATAAAGAGGACAGTACTTTTAAATGACCAGAATTCTGAAATATTTTGTTCTCCTGTTTTTAGTTATGGTAAGCAACAATTTAGTCTGCAAAAGAATGAATCAGAAATTTACATACATCAGTCAAATTAACATTTTTGAAGAATTTATATGTATTTTTTAAAGAATTTATATATACATATAGTTAAAATGCATTTCAACTTTGTTATATTTGTTTAGTGCATTGGTGTTTGTGGTAATTTATGTTGTTAAGTTTAAAATATAATTCTGGAAATTAGAAGGCCACTTATATTAGAAAGGGAAGTCTGCAAAAAACTGGATTAATTCCCTTTGGAAGATTTGAAAGATTAGAACTGAATAATGATCTCTCTTTACAGAATCAAGTTTGACTCTTAAGAGTTACTTCCCTTTATTTGAAAAAAAAGCATGTACAATGTATTTTAGTGTCACTGATTAAGGTATAGCATATTGAAATTGTTGAACATATGGTAATTGTTGAACAAATTTTTCGTTACTTTTTATACAGCAAATAAAATTTTTGGCCTATATATATATATCAAAGATATTAAGGTGAATAAGGCCCGGACCACTTGAAATTTGCTTTATTTCTTGTTGAATACTTATTAATTTCTTTATCTTATATCACCCTTTTTCATTACAAAACCCCTTGAAGAAACAATGAATAGTCCCATTTTTCAAGCTGGGAGAGTCCATAACAAAAAGTTTAAGGTAGTGTTAGGGTTTTAGAGTGTCAAGTTTGTTTTTCAAATGCAAATATCTTTCTTTAAATTATTTTAAGTTACAAAACCCAGAAATGTTTTACCTTAAACTTTGAAATATTAACTTATTACTCTGATATATTTCAATTTATTATATAATTTATAAATAGCTTTGAAATGCCTTTCCTTTCCCTGATTGGCTTAGAAGTAACTTTTTGTTAACAATGACAGGTCACTCAATGTTTTTTCTTCTAAAAATAGATTTCTAGAGTGTATTCCTAAAAATAGATGTTTTGTAAATTGATGATATGATGTGACATCACACCAAGTTTGTTGTTATTATTCTGGAAAAAAAGAAAGTTTGGTGACTTGCAGATATAAGTCAAATTAATGTGTTTAAGTGGGCGTCTTTATGTTTTTAGAACATTACGAATTTAGCGTTCCCATAAATTGGGCCTAAAAAAGTAAACAAGCTGAAGAAATATTACATGTTTTCGATCTTTTTGCCATTTGATAACAGTCAAAAAAGGGATTGCCCTCCTGAAATTTCACAATATCAGTTTCTGGGGACCTTGTTATTAGATCAGTCATAGCTTTGTATGAAAAAATACTGGGTTTTTTCTTGGTATTCCTGTTGACATGTTTTATATATATAATTCAAGACTTTTATTTGTTTATTATAACTTGTAATTACTTGATTTTATTCTAAGTTCAAAACCATGTCAAAAATATGAGTGGTATGTATAAAATAAACTTCAAATCGTGATAATAATTGTTTGTTGAATTTGTTCCTAGATTGTGTTTAAGATACCAGGTTATTTTTGAAGATTTATGGAGATAAATGTCTAGAAATGTGTTTTCCATTTTCTTTGTTCAACAAATATTGATATATATTGCCAGTCTGACAATTCATGATGCTTTTACCAGTAGTGTGTGTATCTTTAACAGGTTTTTACCAGGGTTGGGTGTAATTTTACAAGGGGCTGTTGGGAAGGGGTGTAAGTTTTACACTGGTTTTAATTGGGGGACAGGGGGCGGAGGGGGCTGTGGATGTAGGTCACAAAATTTTGACAAGGGGTAATGCATTTCAAGAGAGAGTTTGGCATTTTAGTAGTTTTCCAGGGTGTCATCAGTAAATTTTTACAATTTCCCCCCAACCCCCCAAAGACAGACAAAAGAAAAAAGAACTTAATAGCCAAATCTAAGAGAGGGGTTAGGGGTCATGACCCACTACTCCTGCTGCATGTTTTGTATATAAAACCTCTAGCTGAGAAAATCATATATCCTTTTATCATATACAGTGTATAGTGTATGTACATTGTAATCTCACCTTATTGCAGTAAAACGTTAACTCCTATTAAACTTAAAAGTAGTTAACCCATTACTGTACTAAAGTGGTGAATTATTAAATACTTAAAACTCCCCTTCCCTAGTCCCCTAAATTAAAAGGAAGAGAAAAACAACAAAATTTAAAGGTTATGTTTAATTTATCATTATTTATTTTCACTAACATAATGAAATAACAAGAACACATATCACAGAATTCAATATAAAACAATTTATGAGGACAAAAAGTGAAGATTCAGATGACTATGACCAGCTATCACATGTGAAATCAATTCACAAAATGGACGGTAAAACACAAAATTATCCTGCTTTTACACTGATGATAACAAATTCACAACTTTGTAAAAGCTAAGTTTTCAGTAGTATTAGCAGTTTAACACATTCTATAAATATAATTGTTGTTTTACAGTATATATACACAACAGTGTGCCTGTGGATGTATTTAATGCAAAGTCCACAGGTCACAACCTATGATCTGTGCCCGGCTCCTTGGTCAACTTCTATATCAATAGCAGAATCCTGAGTAACTGGCCTTGCAGTATCACAGTCACTTTGCTGCACTTGTTGATATCCCATCTGTCCAGTGGCTGAGGGTTGATAGTTATTTGCCGTGAATGGCGGGTTAGTTGAAGCGCCTCCGGTCTCAGTATGAGCGAGTGTTAATTTTTCACAGAGTCGTTCCTTCAACCAAGAGATCAATTGCCGAATTTTGTTCCTAAAGCAGTACAGTAGCAGGCATGCCACTATAACGAAGCCTACAGCTATACCTAGGTAGATTAAGTTTGGTTCCTGATCGATGTCCTGAATGTCTTGAAGATATTCCTGGACGCTTTTGGTAGGCTGGATTGTAACTCTTTGTTTTGGAGTGTATACTTAAAATATATTAATGGTATAATGTTTTAATTTAATTCAATGTTTAACTAGCTCTAAACCCTGACAAAACAACAAAAAACAACAACAAAAAAACAACAACAAAAATTTTTAAAAAGAAAGGAAAAGTTTAAGCATGTACTTGTATTGTGCCATGGCAAAGGAGTTTATATAATGTTGCAATGTTCAAAAAAAGTCGGGAAAAGTCCAAGTATGGTTTGGTTCTCACAACCAGTAAAGTTGTAAATTATCTGTACAAAAAAGAAAAAACACAAAACTGAGGTCATCAAAAGTTAGATCACTGATCAGGGAAAGTAACCGCTGCGAGGGGTTTGAGTAACATCTCCAAGCAGTCACCTCCCCTTCATTATTATTTTGTATGTATTTATCAGGGGGAATAACCGCTGTGACGGGTAATCGAAACAGAAAGTATATGAAGTTGTGCTTTTCATATTCTGGAGAAATATATTTATTACATATTTCATTTAAGTTATTTTCAAGACAGTTTGTTCAATAAGGAAAAGGTAACATACATTTACACTCTTGACCACAGGTATACTCGTAAAACGATGGAATGTCGCATCTATCGGAACACGATTCGTTCTTCCCTGTTGCTGAGTTGTAGAAATAATCGAGTCCTTCAATATAAGTTTGTGTTTTTCCTGTAAGAAAACGCTAAAGTTATATAATTAAAATAGCACCAGTCATATACATAGGTGTTCGGCGCGTTGATTGGTCACGACCACCGACCCCCTCCCCACCCACTCTACAACCCTCCTACCTCTCAAAACCATCATGTAAACTGCAGTATTTTTCATTTGAAACACGTTTTAATATTTGGTATATGCACAGGCACAAATATCGGAATTGGGAAGAAAAATATGACCTGATTGATAATTAAACCTGTGTTCATCTTAAAAAAGTCAAAAACAAAAACAAAAATATTGTAAAGTATGACCCCCTTTAAAAACATACTATATAAGTAAACTATTTTACAAATATATTTTGGTTTTTATTTGTTTGGGTCGTCAGACCAAACAAATAATGGTAGCGAAATTTCAGAGTCTAATGTTGTTAATTGCAAACGCCGAAAGTAGTCCACTTCTTTGAAGCGGTTACTTCCCTTTATATGTACACTAACACCGAAAAATTCAGGGGAGATCACTGCGTAAAGATGGTCAAAGACAGGCGAATTAATTTTCAAGCAAAATAATTCCAGAATGGTCGAAGAATTCTAATATTGTTTTATTGTATTTTCTGATCGAAATTAAGTAAATACAAAGCGGACATTCAACCTCTGACACAGAAGTTCACAACAAACCTAACAACAAGTAGTTCTCAAAACAGCTAAAAACTAGCGATTTAAAAGAATGAAATATTTTTATTTTGTTACAAGTATCCAACAAATAACAACGCATTCAAAGTTTAAAAATAGCGTTGGCTAATAGAATTGTCAATAAATGTACAATCACAAATTACGCGGATGAATATGATTTTATCAATGAAAATACTATTTTTAGCGCTTTCGATTACCGAATACTACACAAACCGAGTAGTGGAATATATATTTCTACATGTCGGACTGTTTGGGCGAGAAGATTTTCGCTAAATTATTTACTTCAGTTTTAAACAACAGGTTTATCCTGAACAAAATACCTCGAAATTAATAAGGATAACAAACCCGAAATGCAATGGAAGTTCTAAATCTAGAATAAGTTGATGTTATGCAGATCCTATATGTATAACTTCTCCGTGGTGCAGGGGTAACGCACTCGCTTCAGGAGTGAGAGGTCTGGAGTTCAAATCCAAGTCGAGGAAACTTTTTTTTTTTAATTCTTTTTTAAGTGTCTTTGTTAAGGAAGTAGCCATGATATGCAAGGATAAAGTGTGACTGTCGTAAAAAATGAACATAAATGATTTTTTGATGCATCTCTAGTTATGCAGAATTCCGTATGTATCAAACTCTGGTGCCTTGCAAAATGAATTATAATACATAAAAATAAACTTATACAGGAAAATGCATACAGATATACGTACAGAACGATTAAGATTGCAAAGATCAGAAAACACCACAGAACTTGCATCCCTTTGATTCTTTTTAAATATACATGCTTAAAGTAAGCTCCAGGATTATTTACATCTGTGTTGAACAACAGTTAAAGTCGTTACAAGCCCTAATTTAGAATAATATGGTTTTCTTCAGGCCGTTCACATATAAATTCACCGTGGCTGAAGGGTTTTCTGGCTCGCCTATGAAGCGAGAGGTCAGGAGTTCAAATCCAGTAAAGGCAAACCATTTTTTTTTTCAAATTATTTAAGTCAAATAAACATTGGATTGCATATCAGTGTTGCAATAAGTCTTATAGCCAATTTACTACAATTAAAACGCTGGAAAGCATTGGTGGCACTATACATATAATCTCACAACCTGCACCTTTCGTACATTCTGAGACCCAAACAAATTCAGCGCCTTCTGTGCTTTGATTGACTTTTTGAACACAGGTTTTATTATCAATCAGGTCATATTTTTTCTTCCCAGGTCCGATACTCGTGCCTGTGGGTATATGCTTTAATTTAATTCAATTACCTTCATTTCCCACAAAAAAAAAAAAATTAAAAAAAAAAAAAAAAAAAAAAAAAAAATGAATAAATAAAAAAAAAAGATAAATATATATACTAAATTTATATGTATTTTTTTTGGGGGAAAATGAAGGTAATTGAAACAAAAGCATATATTAGTCTAAATATTAAAACATGTTTCAAATGAAAAATACTGCAGTTAACATGGTTTTGAGGGGTAAGAGGGTTGCAGAGTTGGTGAGGGGGGCCGGGGGTAGTGACCAACCAACTCGCCGAACACCTGTGGTCATATATACATTTGTAATCCAGCCCGATCTCAAAGAATAAATAGGACTTCGAGCAAAGCCCTTAATTGAAATTATCGACCTGCGGTTGAAATCTTAAATAGCTCTACATTTTCCTGAAGACGGGATAAAAATGCTTAAAATTTTTCCATTAAATCCTCTTAAATATGAATATCATATCAGTAAAAAAAATCAACGGTTCACCTCTAGAAGGTGTAGCTCTATAATATATCTTAACTCTGTGTAGTTGATTAATAATATCTGTCATATTTTGCGGATCTGTCCCGAGGTGACCCGCCCATTGGGCGGTAACGAGGCTTGCCATGGGCGGGTGACCGAAAGTGTTTTCTGGGACAAAATTACCCAGTATTTTTTTTTTGTCACAGGTGTTTTCTGTAGTAGAACCCTACCTTGATTATATATATATATATTTATTTATAAGATCTAATTGCTGTCCAAAATATAAAGGAATCTGGCGTAAAAAAAGGTAAAAAAAGGAGAAAAAAGGAAAAACTTCGTAAAAAAATATCTGCTCACCGTCTTTGTCAATCCTTCTTCCTAATATTGCTACGAAATAAAGGTGACACAAAATAGCAAAATACATTTTAAACAATAAGGGAACCATTATATAGGCCTACGTGCAGACTTACGACATTCTTTGAAGTTTGTAACTATAAAACTGGTAAACTTCATTTACACACATATATATAGTGGCATGACCAGTAGCCTATACAACATAAATCGAGGGTTAATCGCAATTTAACTGTTTCAAGTCATCGTATACGGCAGAGACTTCGATAACATGTTAAAATATAGTTTTGTGATATAATATTTACTGCAGTTTTGCGGTCAACCCTGGTGTATATTTAGCTTGTTTACAATTTTCATTGCGGAAATTCCAGTTCTATTTATAGCTGAAATTAAACATGCGCAGTTGCTAACTATAGAACTGGTTATTCCCAAATGTTACCTAAAATAGATATTTTGCTTTTGAAACTAAGTGAACACCTAACTATTTCATTTCTTAGACTATCTGTGAAACAGAAGGTCCGTTACAGAAATAAAATGGCTCAACCAACTGGAGACACGATTCCACAGTCAACCCCGTTGTATATTTCAAAGTCGGGGAAAAATGCGATGGTAAGATATTAATTTACTACATTTATTTTTCCATTTCAAACATTTTGATAGACAGTATATCTAGTATTAATACATAAATTTCATTTTCTTTCTTTTACTTTATTATAGAGCTGTATATCTTTTTTGTATATAAATATAAAGTTGAAACGGAGACTTTTATGTTATGACTTTCCAGCTGTTAGATAATTGGAGGACTGTCATGTACTAGTCTCAAGACAGACCGATTTGATAATCTGAAATTTCATAGATGTCTGTCTTTACGACAGGGCGACCATCGTCTATATCAAAAAAGCCCTAAAGCGCACAATTTGTTGGGCTAGTCATGTACATAATTTCAGTCAGGAGTCATGAGCTATGAGTGGGGTCCCTGGAGTCTGGACCCACCTGAACACACCTGAGCTAGTAAGACTTAGAGTATTATGTAAATCTGATGCATGTACATGTATTTACATCAAATATCTATAAAAGGAAAAACATTTTTACAGTATTTTAGCTATTTGTAGATTTAATTCCATCATGTATTGTATGTACTGTCTGTTATGTTTACTATATAATCTTGGACACATTTTTTTGTCCCACCTATACAGTACAGTACAGTACTGTAATTGATAATAGTTTTTGAACAATTTTTAAGAGCCCCCTTTAAACACAAACACTTCTGACGTGGGTCGAGGGTTTGCTTTTGTACATTGAGCTTCTAACTTTAAAATGAATTAAAATAAATTGTTTCCCTAAGAACATTAAAAGAGAAGCACAATATGACAACAAATTGTGAATAACCATTTATAATAACCAAATAAAAAATCTTTATTAAAAAAAACAAACAAACAAAAAATTTAGCTTTATCTGATATTGAAGATCAGGGTGTGGATTAGGTTTTTAAGGGTAAGCGGTTTGACCTCTTTGAAAGGAAAAATGGTTAAGCCTCAGAATCAAATAAAATAATTTTTTATTCTTTAGAAAGGGCAAACATGAATTTCATAACTTTTAAATAATAGTTTTAAAGCATGTTAATAGATGCTTGTTACTTACAGCAAGTTTAAATGCTGATGGTGAAATAATTTATCTCGAAAGAAGTAAAATGTAAACAATTATGTATTTTGACTTCCATACAAAATACTAAATCACTATAATTGTACTAATGGCCAAAAAGCAACAGAAGAAATGAAAGCTTTTGAGAAATGGAAATAAAAGCATATCTGGAGCATAATGAGATTTTAAGCCATCTGAGTTGAAATTTCATGACTGGTTATAATCTAAAGGCCAAATATCAGATCTCAGACTGGCGGGAAACCAAACTACTCCACTTTAATTTAAGTCTTACTATTGAAATAACCAATTCAGTTTATACTAACAATAATAATACTGCATGTATGTAAGGTTGCTTTTCATTGGAAAAATCACGGGGCTTTAGCCGCTTATATAGCTTTATATACATGGCTCAGCAGCTGTCAATTTATGAAGAAATCTCACTTTTTTTCTCTGGAAACTTAAGTTTGCTGTATCATAATTTGGTGACAGGTTACTGTACATGTATATGTCCATGTTTTTTTTTTCAATATAACCCTCACTGGCTTGGATTATATTTCCAAACAACTGTATATATATTACTAAAGGCCATATATGTAACCTGTCAAAAATCTTTATATCTAATATAATACTGAATCATACTTAGTTGTATATGTTTGTAAATGCCAGGTGCAGAACAACATGGGTGGGTATGTCTTTAAGCTGAATGACTCAAAGAGGCTATTAAGATTCATCATAATGGGATCAGAAGGTGGAAGTTTCTATGTGAAGGAAAAGGAATTACAGAGGGAGAATGTCACCTGTATTGATAGGTAATTATGATGTTATATCATACAAAGTTTCATTTTTTTTGTAATAGGTAATTGGTCATTGGTTAAGGTTCATATGAAGTTTCATTTTTAGCTCGACTATTCGATAAGAATAAGTAGAGCTATTGTAGTCACCCGAGCGTCGGCGTCGGCGTTGGTGTCCGCGTCGGCGTAACCACTTATGTTAAAGTTTTTGTAATAGTTCAAATATTTTCAAAGTCCATTGACATATGGCTTTGAAACTTTGCACACTTGTTCACCATCATGACCCCAACCTGTAAACAGGAGGAGGTAACTGTATCAAGCATTTTGACAGAATTATGCCCCTTTTTCGACTTAGAATTTACGTTAAAGTTTTTGTAATAGTTCAAATATTTTCAAAGTCCATTGACATATGGCTTTGAAACTTTGCACACTTGTTCACCATCATGACCCCAACCTGTAAATAGGAGGAGGTAACTGTATCAAGCATTTTGACAGAATTATGCCCCTTTTTCGACTTAGAATTTACGTTAAAGTTTTTGTAATAGTTCAAATATTTTCAAAGTCCATTGACATATGGCTTTGAAACTTTGCACACTTGTTCACCATCATGACCCCAACCTGTAAACAGGAGGAGGTAACTGTATCAAGCATTTTGACAGAATTATGCCCCTTTTTTGACTTAGAATTTACGTTAAAGTTTTTGTAATAGTTCAAATATTTTCAAAGTCCATTGACATATAGCTTTGAAACTTTGCACACTTGTTCACCATCATGACCCCAATCTGTAAACAGGAGGAGGTAACTGTATCAAGCATTTTGACAGAATTATGCCCCTTTTTCGACTTAGAATTTACGTTAAAGTTTTTGTAATAGTTCAAATATTTTCAAAGTCCATTGACATATGGCTTTGAAACTTTGCACACTTGTTCACCATCATTACCCCAACCTGTAAACAGCAGGAGGTAATTGTATCAAGCATTTTTTTTACTATCAAGCACTAAGAATAGTCGAGCGTTGCTGTCCTACCGACAGCTCTTGTTTAATGGGTTATTGGTCATTGGTTAAGGTTCATATGAAGTTTAAATTTCTTTTTGTAATGGGTTATTGGTCAATGGTTAAGGTTCATATGAAGTTTCAAATTTTTTTTTGTACTAGATTATTGGTCATTGGTTAAGGTTCATATGAAGTTTCAATTTTTTTTTTGTACTAGATTATTGGTCATTGTTAAGGTTCATATGAAGTTTCAATTTTTTGTAATGGGTTATTGGTCCATTGGTTAAGGTTCAATACGAAGTTTCAATTTTTTTTTTTTGTAATAGATTATTGGTCATTGGTTAAGGTTCATATGAAGTTTCAAATTTCTTTTTGTAATGGGTTATTGGTCATTGGTTAAGGTTCATACAAAGTTTCAATTTTTTTTTGTGCAGATTAATTGGTGCGGGGCAGGGAGTGCAGGTCGTCCAGCAAATCAAAGAAATCAGTGTCAACAGACGCAATGTGAAGCAGAACGCTTTATTGCTTGCATACGCAATTTGTGCCAGATGTAACGACAAGGACACAAAGAAAGCTGCGTACGCCCTTCTGTCTGAGATATGCAGAATTCCAACTCATCTCTTTATGTTTATTAAGTACTGCGAACAAGAGAGCAAAGGGGAGGCAGAAGAATCTGGTAGGCCATTCTTTAGTTACAAAAACATTGGAGCCTCTGTGATAGAGTTTTTACAGTTGTTTTACTTGCAATCACTTTGTTGATTCAAATCCAATAAGGGACTTTTCATGTAAAATAACAATGCTGCAGGCATATGAAAAGTATGTGGAACTTGGGTGCCTAAGATTTTAGGTTGACCAACTTTTAAATGTAATATGCCATTATCACTTTACGCCTGGTTTCTTTTGTTAGAAAACTGCTGATAATATGCCATCTATTTATCAAAAGAATATCGAGAATAAATTTAAGTGTAATAACTTGAGTAAAAACCTGAATATATTTCATTGACTGTTTAAATTTTCTTGAAATATTAAAAAAACCAACAAAATTTTGTATGACATTGAATTATAGGCACTGGATGGGGCCGAGCGCACAAGCGGGCTGTCAGCAAATGGTACACAAGCTTTGAAAAAGACCCTGAAAAACTTGCAAGACTTGTCACAAAGTTCAAGAACCGTGAAAGCTGGTCTCATAAAGATGTGGTGCGTTTGGCTCACACAAGTACAAGTGACAAAGCTGTGGGATTTATTCTCAGGTATATCTCAAGATTTCAGACAAACATATTAAATTTCAAGGAAATGTTAATATTGAATAAAAATTCATTGAAAATGCCACCCAATCTGGCCAAAAAATTGCCAGGTATCTTTGCTACATCATTTTTAGTGACACAGTCTTAGAATATACATCGGTATGTAACCAATTCAGATAGGAACATTTTAAATTGCTAAAGCATGTCAAAAAATTAGCAGATGTGTTCATATTATCGGAACAAAGCTGTAATACAAGTAATAAGAGAAATGGAATTAACTGAAAACACTTGAATCATTAAAAAAAACCTAGAGTATTTTTGTACAAATTTGTGAACCTACGTATTTACATCAACATGTCAAGATATAGGCCCTTATTGCAGTGATTTTACATTTTGCTCATCTAGGTACATCACAAAAGGTCTGGATAAGGCGAAAGAAATGTATCTGAATGATCAACTGGAGATGGACCGAGGAACATCCGAGAAATTGCACAAATTAGTACGCCTGATAGAAGTGTTTGACAGGGCTACAAATGTCACCGATGAGAAGGAACTTTGTTACCTTATCAAGGAGCATAAACTTACATGGGAGCAGTGTAACTCCGAGCTTCTCAAGAGTAAAGAAGTATGGATCGCACTGTTACCGCACATGCCGATCGAGGCCACCATTCGTAACCTCGGGAGGATGACTAAGAATGGACTGTTTGCAGAAAACAGCGAGGACGAACAGATGGTAAGTATATATTGTTTGCCTAAATATTTAAGAGACTTGCATTTAATGTTGAATTATGGCATTTTATAATGATAAGATTTCATAAACTGACTCTTTTATTGTTGGTGTAAGTATTTTAGAGATTTACATTTAATGTTGAATTGTATCGCTTGTTATGAAAATAAGATGTTCATATAATTATGTGCTCTTAAATTATTATTTTGCTCTCAAAACATCAATAATGATTAAAGAAACATTTACTGAAGATGCATTTATTACAGAACTTTAATTAGATTGGGCAGTGAAGTAATTATGGCAATAAAGTACCTGTATTATTTCGTTGTTCAGGGAGTACTCGGATTTTAATTAAAAAAAAATAAAGTAAAAAATGTTCTTATCCAGATTAAAAGTCAGACAAGTCCTTTAAGAAATGAAGGTGGGAAAGTACTTTTTTTAACAAAAACCCTTTAAGTAATCACATTTGTCTGTATTTTAGGTTTTAGATAAGATCAGATCGATCAACACATTGTCCGAAACTCCGATGGAAACGGACGATCTAAGTGAAGAAGTGATGGAAGTCGACAATGTACCCGAGGAAGGTCAGACGGCTGGCAAAGAAAAGAGGAGGAATGTTCTCCACCCCTTTAAAATCCTTCTGGCCTTGGTCACATACAAAACAGGTGAGAATAATTGAGCCATGTCATGACAAAACCAACATAATGCGTTTGCGACCAGCAACAGTATTTAAAAGTAAAACTTTGTAAAGAGAACAGAGAAAGTAATATACACATTGCAAAAGCACTAAGAAGTCACATAAATTACCAAAAAGTGGTAAAAATATGCAAAAGTACCCCTTATAGTCACACAGTAGAAATATGGTGAATAATACTGCAAAGTCAGTCATTCATCATACAAAACATGTAATGTATTACTTGAATCTTGATACTTTTTATTAAAATCTTAGTAAATTTTTTTTTAAGTTTGATTTTCTTGTTTTTCTTCATCTGTAGGCATGCAGCTTTAAAAGAAGTGAATAATAAATTTGAAATGCACTTTATTGTATTTTAGAATAAAAATTATGATGAAAGTTCACTTAAACCTGAACAATTAATTTCCTTTTAGCGATCGGTCCAGCTCTAAAGTATTTCTTCCCTTTGTTCTGTTTCTGTTTCTAAATATCTTCCTTTTAAATATTCAAGGTCATGGTGACAAAGGAGGGCTCTCATGGACACCAAACCAAAAAATTATTGAAGCCCTTGACCAGGCATTTTACCAGGCTTTTGATGCTGTCGAGCCTACCAGGAAGAAGTACTATCTGGCCGTGGACGTCAGTGGGTCCATGTCACAACCAGTGCTTGGAAGCACGTAAGTTTAGCTTTAACATATACCATCTACATCACATGTTGATTACATATACATATAACTTATGTGTTTTATTGATACCTGGGTGAATAAAGATATTTGAATTGAATTGAATTGATAAGACACGAATATAATTACTCTGTAACTGAAGATATATTAGTAATTTACTCTGTAATTAATTACATATAGATACAATTACTTAGAAATTGAAGATATTGAGTCAATCACTTTGTAATTTATTACACATAGATACAATTACTTTGTAATGGAATATATCTAAATCAATTACTATGTAATTAAATTACACACAGATACAAATACTCTGTAATGGAAGATATATGAGTCAATTACTATGTAATTATTTACTGAATAGATACTACACAGATACAATTACTTTGTAATGGAAGATATTTGAGTCAATTACTATATAATTAATTACACACAGATACATTTACCCTGTAATTGAAGGTAAATGAGTCAATTACTCTGTAATTAATTACACAAAGATACAATTAATATGTAATCTGTAACCATAGCTCTGTTGAGTCGCGTTGAAATAGTGCACAGAGAGTAATCTGCAGTCTTTGTCCCAACAGAATTAATGCCAAAAATGTATCCAATATACTGTCCATACTTACTTACAAGAAGGCCCTGCCTATATGACACAGGTTGTCAAAGAGAATTTTTATGTAGGCACGTGTATAAGACACAGTTTTATTTTATACCTGATACTGGAAATGACTTGTGATATCGGTCGTATATGACTTTAACCTTTTTCATTGTGTGAAAAACCAAATTAATGAAAAGGAAGGACTTGAGTGTAACTAATTAAATAAAATGTTATTGATGGCTATTTATAGAAACATACATTGTGCGACAGCAGCTGCAGCCATGATGATGGTAACGTTAAGAACAGAGGAACAGTGCATCATCAAAGGTATTTTTTTTAATATTTTTATATCAGAAAATTTTTTCTTGTGTAATTTTAAGCATTGCCAGGTCCAATTAAAATAATCATGCCAATATAGAATTTTCTTCTAAGACTGATGCAATTAATCTGTCGTAGTATAAAATAGATTATCTTACTACTGTTACACATGATACTGAATTAAATCATTTCTGTTGCATGGTTAATTCTATAATAGATTTTAACCCTTCATTCTTTTTTACCCATTATTTTATTGATACTTTTTTTACTATCATATTTTTGTTAAATTTTCACCATCATTTTTATGCATCTGGTTTTCAAGATAATGAAACAATATATTTCTGTAGCAATTTCTGCACATATTTTTTTTGATGCAATTCTGATCCAAAGTGTTTCTGTTCTAAAATTTTGTTTATAATAGATTCTATTTCTTTACCCATCATGCTTTTGATATGATACTAAAGTGAGGTATTTCTGTTGCAGGGTTTAGTCACAAGCTAGTAGAAATACCGGTTGATCGGACTGACCGTCTTGCAGAGTGCAGAAAAA